CTTGAGCAAGAAAAATAGCATTTTGGGTATGCATTGAGAATAGAAATTCTCTATACTGTTAAACTCATATTTCGTGCTTTGCCTGCTATTGGGCATACCAGTGTAGAAAGAAAAGTTCCTAACATAAGCAGCCTATCATAGGTTTTTTTCCAATTGTGCATGGGTATTTTCAACCCTTACAGTTCTTAGCCTTGTTTTCCCATTCAGGGGAATTCCCTCATATATCTTTATGCTTAACAACACTAAATGAGGTGACAAAGAACTATTTTCAAATCTGATTTCTGCATTATAGTTTCTATTATTCCACCCCTCCAGTAAAAATATAGATTGACTAAAACTTTTTCTTAAAAAAACAAAGGGATCAAGGAAAATATGTTTCCTTTTATTAAAATATTATTTTTAGTTCATCCTACATTTTATGACTCTGTATTTAAATAGAGCCTATAAAGAAATACAAAGAAATGAGATGAAGTAACAAATAGCAGTCTCTAATTCTCAATTTAGTAGAAACTCTCTGCATGACTTTTCACTATTTTCCCATCTGTGAAAGAGGATCAATACTGGGTATCTAGTGCTGGAATTCTAACATTCAATATCCTGACATGTGCAAAAGGGGAGACACCAAACGTATGGAGCCAAGAACTCTTTGCTTGTCCAGTTTGTGTTTAAAGCAGCTAATAGTCCTAATTGGACTCACAAATAATCTAAATGAAATCATTATATGAAAAAAATCTGCTCATAGCATAGCACTTTTTTCTGATCACACTCGCCTTCAGGTGTCCTCCTAGCCCAAGGTCAACAGCATCAGCCTTCCTCCACGGTGGGTATGTGTTGGGTGCGGATTGCAGCAAACTGCCACAATCTCAAAGGCATCTCCAGATGGGTTCATCTGTTGTGGTGGGTCCCTGCCTCCTCATCCTTGGGTTTGCTTGGGCTTACCTACCCAAAAATATTGCTGGGCATGTGTGGGTTACAAAGTAAAAAATAAAAAAGATCCCCTCATGTGAAGTGGAAGGCAAGCTGACAAATGAAACATAGAAAATTAAAGATATTTCTATTAAATGAAATAAATAAATGAACCATACAACACAAGAAACCTATCTAGATGCCCTTAGGACCCTGTGATAGAGCTACTCCAATGACACAAGGGTTTGTACTCATGTCTATGTTAAAGTTAAAATACTTCTCCAGATGTTTAATTCTCCTGATTCTCTTAATAATGTTGAACAGCTATGGCTGAATTTAAATTTAGGAATAGCTATCTATAGACTTCATATTCAAAGGAGCAGAAAGAAAAGAAAATCAGTATATTTGGGTGGCTTATAAGTCCCAGCCCCTCCAGAGCAGAGAAGCAAAGCATGCCTTTATGTTGAATAACAAAAGTCATGTCATCTTTAATTAAGGACTTTCCCTGTGAGGTTTCTGCTTACAAAAAAAAGCAAGAAAATGTCGCTTATGCTTTTCAAGACTTACATAATATAAACCCATGGCATATTATCAAATAGTCATCACAAGTCTTCCCACAGTGTTAGCACTGGATTAAAATGGGTTTCTAACAGATTCTTCAATTAAGCAGATCAGATTAATTTAGTAGAGTGGTTCATGGCTTCCAGTATCCTTGTAGGAACTTTCTACTTTCATTAATAGCTGTATTAATTGCTGAATGGAAAAAACCTCATCCTTAAATAGGCTCTTTTGCATTATCAAAAACATTCATTAACATTAATTTTCATAGCAAGTGAATTTCAAAAGTTTTATTTCTGAGAAATGAAATTTTAAATTCCCATGTCTATTTGCTACCAATGTTCTTGGGGGCATGGATCCAGCAGGGAAACTGAAAAAAGAGACCATTGACTTACATTATCAATCTAGCAGTCTAACTGAGAAACATAGAATGCATACTGAATTTTAAGTACTACATACATTTAAATCTAGAAAATAAAATAACCTAGTAGCCTAAAATTATTCTAGAACTGATCCTAGAGAATACTGTTCAATTTCTCAATATCTATTTCCTCACCAAGTGACTACTGCCCCTAAAACAGGAATGCAACTTTTAGTTTATTTACAATCACAAACATTGGGTTTTGTTAATTTTAACAGAGATACTTTTTTAATTCTATCATGAATCTTTGGGTGGTGAGGCACTGGAACAGGTTACCCAAGTGTCCTGGGTTCAGCAGTAGCAGTCATGTTTCTCCTTCTTGGTAGCTGGTGCAGTGCAGTGTTTTGACTTTCGGCCTGGGAACAGAACTGATAACAATGATGTTTTAGTTTGGCCAAGGACTTTGTGAGGCTCATGCTCTGCCAGGGAGGAAGGGAAGCCGGGAGGAAGCAGAGACAGGACACCTGACCCAAACTGACCAAAGAGGTATTCCATACCGCAGCACGTCAGGCCCAGGATGCAACTGGGAGTTACCTGGAAGGGCTGGCAGACTGCAGGGGTCTGCAGGGTTGGAGGAGGTATCGGTAGGTGCTTGGTCGGGCTGGGGGGGGGGGGCGAGTTATCAGTCGGTTGCTGGTGAGGTGTTGTATTCTCTAGTAGGGGGGAAAGAGAGAACGAGGAGATCAATCTGTAACTGACTGTGAACAATCAATTGAGATAACCCACTGCACCAAGGAAGTTGTGAATGCTCCATCCCTGGCAGTGCTCAAGGCCAGGTTGGACAGAGTCTTGTATGGCATGGTTTGGTGTGTGGTCTCCCTGCCCATGGCAGGGGTTTGGAACTTGATGATCTTAAGGTCCTTTCCAACCCTGACTATTCTATGAAGCTATGATTCTATGAGCTAAGAATTTGCTATGCCTAAGAAATTAACAGGAAAACCACATCTTCTGGTCAAAAGTTATTCCAGTCAAGTGTCTTGTCATTGGCAGTTGTTACTCATGGTTACCTATGAAAGAATATGAGGACAAGACAAGTGCAATATAGCCACCAAATACTCTCCTATCCCCTGAAAAGGTACAATTCAGGGGACTTCTCTGAGACATTTGAAAGTTTTTCTGTCATTTTTAATGACTCTTAACTGGGCTTTTCCCTTCATGAAGTTGTCAGGTTTGTTTCAAACCTTTGTTGGCTCTTAATGCTCACAGTATTCTGAGCAAAAACTTCCACATCTTAATTGCTCATTACTTGAAGAATTAGGTCTTTGTATTGAACATGTTCTCTGCTAGTTTCTTTTGATGAATCCTAGCCATATCTCCTAAAGCTATGCAAAATATTCACATAAATTAAGACTTTATGAGACATATTTCTCTCTAATATTTTAGTGAAGGTAGATTACTGAGGCTTTCTCAAATAGGACAAAATAGAAAGTGTCTGCCTTATCTAACAGAGGAACAACTTATAAAAAAAAGAAGACTAACATGTCTCTTGATTTTCAAGTTCTTAAACATTTACCAGAAGTATTAAATACTATGTGTGTACACATAGATTATAAATAAAAATCATCATAGTTTATAACTATGGCAGCATCTTTACAGAAATCACATTTCATAACATTGCACAGAGCCCTTCTTTTTGTCCTATGTCTCTGAGTCCACAGGGAGATTCATGAACTTTTGGTTTCATAAAAGCTATATGCTAAATCATGCCTTTAAAAATAATGTGATATTGGAAAGGTAACATGTCAGAAAAATTAGGAAGAAAATGGTGACACAATCCCCATAGGAACTTGTGATGCATTTTTATTTTGCTGTAAAGAAGATAAACAGTTTTCTGATAAAATATTCAGGATAAAATGTCAAAATAAATACCAGTGAAAAGAAGACTACTATGTGTAATTACAGAAAGCACATTCAAGATATCTTAAAGCTTTATTATCCAAATATGATCATGGCTTTCATAGCAATCGCTGTTTGAATAGTGATTTTGATATTCATTGGCTAAGTATATATAATTTTCATCTTGTTTTGAACATATGTTTCACCCACTGCATTACATAAATTTGCTCACTGCTTCTGCTGGAAACTGTCTTTAGTCATTTCTTCATCTAGAACAATCAGACAAGTTTTCCAATTCCAAGATTTCTCCATGCATTGGCTCTAAGCACAGTTATTACAGTAACTGTCCTAAACATCAGCTGCATCCATCTAACTTAGTTCCTTCTGTAAAAGGCAGCAATCAAAATCAGACACATCACAAAGGTAATTGCAGGAGTTTGGCCAAAATTTTGTCTGGTGAGTGAGAAAAAGATTTAAATGTTTTTCTCCAAAAGTATACAAAGTATCCAATCATGTGTGCTCATTCTCTTTTCCAGCCCCCTCCCCCCCCCCCCCATATTGTAGTGTAGTTATTTAAAAGTACATTCAGTGCAATTTTGACCTAAATAATGTAAACACTTCATATTTGGGGGACAATGTTTGAATTTGTCCTTCTTATCTTTAGTCTCATCTGCATGGTCTCCTGTTAAACACCACATGCCTGCATTAATATTCCTTCATTTAATATTTATCTAAATAATTTCCTTCTCTCTCAAACAAAATTTGTTTTTAATTTCTATGTTGAAAACGTATTTTGCAAAAGCTCTAAGGGACTTTAATGAAACAATAAATAATGGCATTGAAAGTTCAGACCAGGCTGAAAATGGGAATCTTGATGTTGAAAGAGGGACATTAGATCCTCATAAAGAAGAACTCAGGAAAACAATTCTTGTTAGGGCCTTCTTGGTGGATTAGAAGATACTATGCCTGAGAAGAGACTTTGGGTAAAAACGCTAGGTTTTTATAATGCATATATCTCTCATTCACTAAAAAAAAAAAAAATGAAGAAAGGAACCTGAAATACTTTGCTTCTTCACCAAGCAAAACCCTTCTCCTCACCCAAACATTCAGACAATGCTGTTTAAAACAAAAAGCAAAAGCAAAAGCAAAGCAAAACAAAGAAAAAAAAAAAGCTCCAACCAACAAAAACTTACAGATGTAATTTGATAAATGAAGATATTTCTTGGTTTTCTCTCAAAACCATCACTGTCCAGTTTCTCATTCTAGACTTATTGTTGTGGTGTTGCTTCTCTGAATCATCATCATGACACAGCACTGCCCATCACCTTGTAGCAATGGACTTGAGGAATCTGACAGCTTCAGTCAGAGTCATATCAAAATCAGACAGAAATACAAAATCACCAGAAATACATTCACTATTTCTAGTTCCATCAGCTTGAGTATTTTAGTTTTGTTTGTATAGATTTTATTAAAAGTTAGTGTTATGAAAAAAAAAGCGCTTTAAATCTTTTGCAAAATTGTTAGAACTTTTGAAAGCAAAGTTTTCTTAACACAATAATATGTAGCTGGATGTAGGTAGAAAACTGTTCTCTTTTCCTCTTTTTCTTCTCTCTATATTTGCTAACATACTTCAAGCACCATTAAAAAATAAAACAAAACTCTTATTTTTGTCCTTCACTTTTTACTTTTACTTTCAGCAACTTTTAACACTGGTAAACAGTTAAATCCCACTTTTAATTTGCTTGAACACAATCTTTTCAAACACATACGCTTGAACGCACGCTTTTCAAACACATGATCCTTTACTTCATTTAAAAAAATACATGCTTTGTTGTATTTTACTCTTTTTTTCCCACTATAATTTCAAATTTTGGTGAAACATATTGCAGATGGATTGAGCTAAACAGATGTTTAAATTTGACACATATGCCTAAAGTATTTAACATATCTCTTCTTAAAGATATACATACGCCTAAGAGATTTCGTGGATCATGGTTTAATGACTGTTTCTCTCATTCTCAATGAAGTCTGTCATAATTCTTAACGACAAGGTCAACAGGCACTGCTAATACCCACTGCCTCACTTTTAGTTTTCATCTTTTTCCCTTTTTTTGGAATGACCAGTTGTACAATGCCTGCTTATTCTCTCCAAGAGTACAGATATAATTACATATGCATACAATTACAAATTCACGTTACACTTCTGCTTCATCAGTCAGAAATCTGATGAGGAAATCCCAGCACTAATATGGCTTAAAACTCAGTTGGTCTGATTTTTGTCAAGTTTTAATCCTATTACTTCATGTGATTATTAGTTGGCATTGTATGTAGCAATAACACTTGCATAAATAAATAAATAAAACACAGCTGTGTGTGACCCTCTGAAACACATCAACTCTCCTAAATTATGTTCTCTGTTATTATGCATGTTATTAACTTTGATTTTTCTTGTTACACCACTCATGATGATTTATTTTATACTACTACCATGCTGCCAATCAGCATGAAATGAGTGCTTTCCATATAAAGCAGCTGTGGCAAAGTTTCATCTGACTATTATTATTTACATAGTAATTGTCCCTCCAGGCTGTTACTCTAATCAATACCCAAGACTAAACATATAAAGAAAGCTTTGAATCAAACAGCCTACATTATTGTCGTGGTTTAAGACCAGCCGGCAACCCAGAACCACGCAGCGGCTCTCTCACTCCCCCCCCTTCCTGCCCCTGCTCCCGGAGGGATGGGAAGGAGAATTGAGAGAATGTAACTCCCACAGGTTGAGATAAGAACAGTCCAGTAACTAAGGTATAACACAAACCCACTACTGCTGCCACCAATAATAATAATGATAAGGGAAATAACAAAGGAAGAGAATACAACCACTCTCCACCCGCTGAGTGATACGCAGCCTGACCCAAGCAGAGATCTAGACCTTCCGAGCAACTGCCCCCAGTTTCTATGGAGGGCATGAAGTGCTGTGGTATGGAATACCTCTTTGGCTAGTTTGGGTCAGGTGTCCTGTCTCTGTTTCCTCCTGGCTTCCCCTCCTCCCTGGCAGAGCATGAGACTCACAAAGTCCTTGGTCAGAGTAAACATTACTGAGCAACAACTAAAAACATTGGTGTTATCAGCATTGTTCCCAGGCTGAAAGTCAAAAAACAGCACTGCAGTAGCTACTAAGAAGGAGAAAAATGACTGCTACTGCTGAACCCAGAACAATTATGAATACCTTATTTTTTTTTTTTTCTTACCCCAGTAGCATCCTAATAAAGTGTTCATCCACTTCAGACTTACTGCCATCTCAAATCAATGTTGGTGTCTGGGCAACTCATGGCCCAGCTGGAGCTGTTAACGTAGGACAGACAGTATCTTCTTGGGAATTGGAAAGAGAAAAGTGCGCAGTGCTTACCACATTTTTCTTTGTACACAGTTTTCTCATGCAAATTTAACAGGTCAGTCTTGACTTTGCAAGCACTTACCTTTTCACTCTACCACCATTTGAACTGTTGCATGGTCTCTCCATTTGCAAAATCAGATACAGGTGCTGTCAAGTTTATGAATGCACTGGTAAAGAAGACCTATGTTTTCTGTCATTGGATCATACAAAACTTAATGGCAAAAATGCTAGAGAAATGATGATAAAAACACTTCCTCAAGTGCATAGACATTCACATATATGGACACATGCATATTATTATATAATTTTTTATCCTGTGCTTTTATAATACTAGGAGCAAGAAAATGTAGTTGCAAGATTATGACACAAAACTTTCATATTTTGTCAAGAGTGTGTGATTAATACATTCAGGTTCAGCTTTTTTGAGGCCTACATACATTAACCACATTGTGCTCTGCATTTCATTGTCTGTCTGTGACTTGAACACAGAGGATGACTAATAAATAGCTCTGAGTGTGTGTATGTGAATCAGATGGAAATCCATATGCTTTAGTGATTGTAGAATGTATTTATATTAACAATTACTATGTTAAGTATCAACAAGTAGGGTGACTCAGATTAGAGGCTAAAGAATTAGAAGAATGTTGTTATAAAACATAATGTAAATGATTACACAGAGTAAATAACAGGATGACCTTTTTTTTTTTTCAGTCATCCAACTCACTTGAGATTCACATTTCACATCCTGGCTCTGGTGCAGAGTACCTGAAAGTTAGTACAGATTTGTAATGCAAAAGTGAAATGGTTTTTGTTTTTTGTTTGAATTTTAATTTTATTTTTTTTTTTATGCTATGTGTCAGAGAGTGGGAAAAGACAGGCTTAGGAACAGGTTCATGAACAGGCTGAGAAAGGCAAATCTTTTACAGTATAACACTGCATCAAAATGTCACTGCACTTTTGTTTGCTAAGTGGAAAATGATTATGCAAAGAAAAATTCAAATGAGAGCAATATGGTTTTGTTTCCTTGATGGTGTAAGAGAAACAAATAGCCAATCTCCCTGTGCTTCCCATAGGAGGAACATGGGATTGGTGGGAGGACAGCCCTGTGCATCTGCTTTTCCATGCGTCGCTGCTGCAGAACCTGCCGCTGGGTGAGAATCCTGGAAGGCAACGTGGCGGACTGCGCACCCAAGTCCAATGTCATGTCCAGCAGCTCATGTCCAGCCAGCATATTCTCTGACTATAGGGTTAGCTCTGCCTGCTTTCAAACAGCAAAACTGCTCAGGTGCCCTCCCTTCACAGAGTACATGATGTAGGCACTGCCACATCCAAAAATTGATGATCTTATAAACTTTCTTACTGAGCTAATTTATTTCAGTAAAACGAGGATGTAGTGGGGAAATGTCTACCTGTTATTTGTTCTCATTCTGTTTAAATAAAGGCTTCAAAGTTAAAGCATTACTAACTTGTATTATCACTATGGATTTTTAATGTAAACTAGATAATAGCATAAATCTAACATTGTATGATCAACCATCTTTACATGCAAGTCATTAGAAGGGACTTTAAGGGTATCATATTTTTATTTAGAACCAAATATTTTTGTGCTTCTGTGATCTGCTCCATAAATATCTCTGTGGTTTTCGGTTGGAAAAAGGACTAGTTGCACACTTTACTTCGATCTCAGAACCTGACTCCTAGCATTTATACAAGACAGCTATCCCTGATTTTGTCAATTATGTATACTGGGTTTTGGAGTGGTTCCAGTTGGGAAGTTGTTCTCCTAAGGAGCATTAATGAGAGCCCAATTATACTGCCGTGGGGCAAGTGTGGATAATGGAGTCACACAGGCTCCAGCTTCAGGAGGTGTGCAGAATTTAATTGTCTGTTTGACAAAATCTTTTCACTCTTTGAGGAACAGACAAGAAGGTTTGTGTGGTTCAGGTAAACATTTCCATCCTATCAACTCTATGCACAATTCAAAGGATAACAGAACTAAAAAAAAAGATTTAAGTTGAATACCTATGTAAATGAGGAAGTATCATATACATTTTGAGATTTCGTGCTGATAAACCTTCAAACTGACCTAAATCGTAGCCAATTTAATAAAGGTCATATTCTCATTGCATTCCATTTCTTGAATGCGTTAATCCTTTCTTAATTTTTAAGTGAAACTAGATACAAAAACCTTTATCTTCTCCAAATGTATTATTTAATGCACTTAGCTGTGAAACAAGTGGTAATTTGTAATGATCCATGGAGCTGGTTCACTGTTCTGCATCTGTCTCCTTGCAGTTTTGCATATTTATTCTCACATTTACAGTGCCCCTTTTCTAGCGGAACCTGCAATGTTTGGTTAGAGAAAATTACTTCCAATAAACAATTGGATTTTCAGGGACTCCAAGATGGAAGTTGGAAAAGACAGAAGTCCAAACAAAAACAATACATAACTGCTTTACTAAAAAAAACAGACCAGTATTTTTATTAAGTTTTTGGTTTTTTTTATCTTGTTTTTACTATAACTAAAGATGCTCAGAGCTTCAGAACTTACGTAGCTCACTTTGTGATCTTATCCTGTGCCCCCTTCACCCTCCTCAGTTTTACTTTATTCTTCTAAACTTCAGCAGCTCTCAGGTTGGGATAACTTTAAACAACATTATGCTCAAACTAAGAAATACAAATTTATCCTGTGGAAAATTACTTGGCAAAAGCACCATAGGGACTCTTCAAGCAAAATAAAAAAAAAAAAAAAAATGGATTTAGCTGTGAAGCTGTACTTCTGCAACTTTAAAACACAGAAATTGAAATGCTTTCTCCCTCACATTACCCACTATTATTCCAATGCTAAATAGTGAATTTAACAATTCTCGTCATTCTGCTCCAAAAGCATCTCACATGATACAGGAATGCACAAAATATTAGATATGGGTGAGCAAAGTCTTGTTAAACACCTGTCCTGAGATTTCAAGGAGCCTGGTACAAAAGCAAATATTCACAGTAACATTTTTGATTATTTCAGATCTTTCATGAGGAAAAATGAAATAACTGTAGAAGAATTAATATAGCAAATTTAACATATTAGCCAGAAGTTGGTAATTGAAAAATTAATAACATTTCAAACAATGTAAGATAATAATCTATTTTATTAGTCTTATGCACCAGGTGGGTAATGGCACTGGGGACAACAGAGATCTCAAAATCCCAGGGCCAATTATCTGAGCTCCTAATCTTTCCTTATCTGCTGCACAGCGTTACAAGGCTGTCTCTATAGCTGCTATAACCAATGCTTTGAAAGACGTCAGAGGGATTCTCAGGCAAAATGGCCTGGGAAGATAATCTATTGATAGGTTCCAGACTCAGATATGGATTTTTTGTATCATTGGCAAGTCAAGAGAGAAAGCACTTCTTAGTGGTCTGTGTAAGTACATGGAGCCTTAAGAAAAAAAAGAAAAGAAAAAAGAAAACATTGTTCTGGTGCTGCACGGAGTTTATTTCATGTGGCAGGTTTTAATTTCACCCACAACTTTTCTGAAACATATGAGAGTCTGATTCATTAAAAAATAAATTTTTTAGATTTGTCTAATATCAAATTAATATGCCGTTATTATAAAAAAAGTCTCATAAACTAAGAAATCATTGCATGGCATTTAAATATAACATGCAGATATTTAAATACTAGCATAGCAACAGAAAGCTGACTCTTGAGGGAACAAACCTGGGCATCTCTGACAGTTCTGACATATGCTAGAGTATCCAGAGAAAAAGTCAGCAATACTGATCCTAATGTACTGGTATACTGTACTAAGTCTAGAACATAACAAGAGGCTCCATTACCCAGAGAGGAGGAAGATACGTCTACAGAATGGACAATTTTGGCTAATACTTCATTATCATTTTGATAGAAATCTACAGATCTCATGTTTTTAAAAAAGGCATTCAACATTCAAAGCACTTTTGTACCTCTTAAAATCCACATCATGCTGTACTTTGGTGATGAGGATAATGAAAAACAATGTCAAAACCGCTGCACTTTTAGCCTTCACGTAGGGAGAGAGCAGAGCAGGGTGGTGGGAATCAATTTTAATTTTCTAAATCATAGAATCAAACTTGTGAAAGAATGTTAAGCAAGAGTAATTTCTTTGTACTGTATTCAGGACTGTCTTACAGAAAATTAAAAGTTAAGACAGATTTCTTTCTGTATTTGTTTTAAATCAGGGAATCTGAGCCACAGATATTCACAATTCTAGCATTGGTTCCCTTCATTTCCTGGCCTGGGGCCTGTATCTAAAACACTTTAAGGCTTCTCTTAGCAAAAGCAGGTGAGATCAAAGGAAACTGTTAGTTGACAGGAAAGGCCTTCTTGGCAACAGGGCTCAGCCACACTAGGCAAGAGTGACAGGCTATAGGAAAAGAGGGAGAGCAGAAGAAGAGAGTGGATGCAGAATTTTGTGGCAAATTTTAAGTTTTGTACAGTTTAGTCATTAACTACTTACATTTCATTTGTTGTTTTTTTTCAAGTATTACAGACATGTGAGATTGAAAAAAAAAAAAGTGTTTACTATCAAAGCACCTGAAATAGTTTTGTGTACTAACAAAACCATCACAACATTTTATTGAATTTTCTTAGACTTAGACCCATACCCAAACCGTACTCATGCCTATCCCCATATCAATACCTTTTCCATCATTTACCGGAGAACTTCAAGAACAGGGTAGTGGAGTGATTCTTTTCCAGTGAACTAAAAAACTATCCAATTTCTTGAACAGAAGTGTTCAACACAAGAAGGCATATGCCCATGGAGTCCTAATAGAGGAAGCTGACCTAGAAGGAGAGAATTCAAGGGAATAATTCATTCATTAAAATACTGACTCAATTTAAAGTGTAAATTTGATTTTACAATTCCATATGTGTTACTTAAAATTTAATAATTGCTCTGTATATGGATATAATTTTCACTCACTTCATAACAAACCCAACTGTGTCTATGGGATGTTTTTCTGAATACTTACAGGAATGTCTACCAAAATTGTGAAGTAGTGAAACAGAATTTATTTAGGTTTGACTGAACACAACATTTGCGTATGCATCTGTATGCATCTTGCTCTGTTTATACTACTTAAAAGGTCTAAGACTGTAGATTTATCCCTTGGTATTCATATTGCAAAATGCAGCTTCTATTTGCACCTGAATAAATGTGAGACAATGAAATGATTATTTCTGATAGTCAGTAAAGTCAGAAGCAAACATACTGACAGAAATCCATGTGCAGTGTTAAGAAATGAAGAGAAGCAAAGAGTAACCTGCCTCAGTTATAAAGAGATAGCCAGTCAGGGTATATTTACAAAATGATAAGCAAAGGACTCTAAATTCAAATGTTACTGTCAAATAACCACATGACCAAATATGTCATATAAATCAAACATTAGTAGGAAATAAAAATTACCTTTGGAACCAGGACTTTTAAAGTATTCGTACAACTGTTTCATGAAGACGTTGAAAGGTAACACTTACTTAACACTGGGTATGTATAAGTACACAGCGTATGACATTTTATTCTAATTATGCTTTTATAAACTGATAAAAATAAAAGTATCCTTCTACTTCTGCATGTGTATTCCTCTACTTACAACAGCTTGTTTAGAAAGACTGATTCTATAAATGCGAAGTTAACTCTCTCATCAATGTAATATGCTTTGTGTTTATGAAAAATGCTTCTTCTCACTGCAGTATTACCAGCTATGAAAATTTTGAAACAGTGAGAAAATGTAGCTAGAAAGCAGAAACTCTTCTTGGACTTAGGAAAAAATACAAAAAGAAAAAAAAAAAGTAAAACTCATGCTGTGTTTGTTTCCATCTCTGATAGCTTATAATGCATTTTAACCACAGGAATCTTCTCATTATATATTAATTATGGTCTACAGATAACATCATTATCATTATGTAATGAAAAATGCGAGTAAATTACTTTTAACATCATGTGCAGTAGAAATTCAACAAAAGCCATGCAATTTTTATATCAGCATTTCTCATTATCAGATTTGCTTCTACCTGCTGTGGACATTATTTGGCATTTCTTTTTCCTTCATGACAAACAAATAGAAATTTACAGAAAGGTCTCTCAAAATAGTTCTTCATCTCTTCTATGTTTATTAAAGAATACCATGTCAGCTCTCCACACGTGATCTCTTACTGCCTCTGCTGTCCTTTCTCCTGTAAGAGCCTTGGAATTTCTATTTGTGCTCAATTGCTCTACTTGAGTGGATAAGATAGCTTGGCAGGCAGGGCTCAGTTAAGCATTTCTAGAGCATTTGCTAAATAAAACTCCTTCTCTTCAGGAAGTCTGCAAAAAGACCACTGAGTGCAATTCTTCCAGCTAATAAATTCTAAGTGCGTATTGATACACCTATGTACGATTTCTGAAAAACCCTTGCTTAGAAATTTATCTTGATTTCATAGCTTTAAGAATCACTTAAGTTTTCCTGATTGAAAAGGGCACAATGCATTTAACAGGAGACTGAAAACTCAACTTTGTTGAGATGAACATCTCCCAGCAGATGCAGGAATAAAATGGGTTCCAGAACAAATATTGGTCAAATATCATGTTTAAGTGATATATTTGTGAAATATACTGTAATGGGTTACTACAACAAAAGAGAATAGGTGGATCTGGAAGCACAAAAGCACGATGCAGAGATGCGTTTCTAAACACAAGGCTCATTCAGAGAAGAGGCATAGAGGCACTTCTGTTGATCTGTACATTCCAGGAGTGTCCACTGGTCCCTAATCAATTCTAGAAACTGATCCATAAGCAAAATAAAACTTTTCACAAATATCTGTGGCGACACACAAGATAAGAAGAATACGGGAAAGATTTGCATCGAATGGGACTAGATGATTCAGAGCATCCTGCACTCCTGTGTTCTTCTAACCTAGAAAAAGCAAAGGTATTTGCTGCAGCAAATAATCAGTATTTCCATGATTCATGGTGTACTACCTTACATATAATCTGAGGACATAAACTGATCATGACACTAGCTTAGATTATATGCTTTTATAAGAAGTTGATCTCATGGATTACATACTTTGCTTTCTTTAACCTGGCTAAAAGAAGATCCTTTTATTTTGTATCCTGACATATTCATTTATGCATGTGCATGGGCATACTATACAATGTACAGTGTATTCATTAGAGAAACAAACATTCCTCAACAATCACAAGAGGAAAATCAAGGTTCTGCTTGACCTAAAAAGTAAAATTTCTAATAAACAGTATTTAACTAACAAATCCCAGGTAAAGAATGTTTATTATTATACTTCTAAATAAATATTATTATTTAGTATGAATATTATACTTCTAAAAAACTCCTTTCTCGTACACCTGTCAAGTTACCTTTCTCTCCTACAACTGCATCACTGCAAAAGGTTAAAGAAGATATTAACTAATAAAACAATTAATTTCCTAAAAAACAATTAAGTTCCTAAAAATAAATTAAAGTGTTACTGCATTAACACAAACATGGGGACAGACTGTGCAAAAACTGTGTTCCTTTGCCATAAGCCATGAGTGATGTGAAAGACTCCTACATGGCAGAAAAATTTGCTAAGCTGTTTTCTGGCCTTGTTGGAATCTAGGGGGGATTTGCCATTAACTGGTTTTAGGCCAGCATGCCCTTTAAAATATTTTAAAGATCTTGTGTCATGCAGAAAGCTCACACTGACATGACACAGCATTATCCAGCATATCCCACCTCTTCACTGCCTCCATAGTCAAGCACTCCAAGACAGAAAGTACTTGGTAAAGCGTGGTGGTGAAAAATGTAGAAGATCTGACTCAAAGCACAGAAAACAAACTGACCATGGGAAGTATTCCTCATCGTCATTACTTTTCAGAATAAAATTAAGGCTGACTCTACTCTGCTCTCATGAGACGACACTTGGAGTATTGTGTACAGTTCTCATGTCCTCAACATAAAAAGGACATGGAACTGTTGGAACAAGTCCATAGGAGGGCCGCAAGGATGATCAGGGGACTGGAACACCTCCCATATGAAGAGAGGCTGAGAAAGTTGGGGCTGTTCAGCCTGGGGAAGAGAAGGCTGCGTGGAGACCTCATAGCAGCCTTCCTGTATCTGAAGGGGGCATACAAGGATGCTGGGGATAGACTATTCATTAGGGACTATAGTGACAGGACAAGAGGGTATGGGTTATAAACAGGGGAAGTTTAGATTGGATATAAGGAAGAAATTCTTTCCTGTAAGGGTGGTGAGGCACTGGAATGGGTTGTGAATGCTCCATCCCTGGCAGTGTTCAAGGCCAGGCTGGACGAGGCCTTGGGTGATATGGTTTAGCGTAAGGTGTCCCTGCCCATGGCAGGGGGGTTGGAACAAGATCATCTAAGGGTCCTTTCCAACCCTAACTATTCTATGATTCTATGATTCTATGAAACATTTGCCTGGCTCTACTGCAGATAGTTTGATAAAATATAGTTTTAGGAGAACCTAATCACATGACTAGAGTCATTATAACATAAATTGATTCAGGAGAGATTTAATTAATTTAATGCATCTGGCTGTAATTATTATTCTGCATTTATTATGTAGGACTTTTGTTAGCTTAATGGCTTTATACATTTATCAGATAGTCACTGAAGAAAATTTCAGTTACTCATAACGAATCTGAATAAATCAGCAATGACTTTTTTTTAGAACAGTTTTATTATAATGATTTGTTATTTTGGTTGTACCAGTCATGACAAATTTCTGCAGCTTCATTGAGAAAAAGCTTTATCCAATATCCACAGATTCAATTGATTGCATTGCACTGTAAAGATTTTTTAGAATATATTTATAATACAATTCCCCCAGTGTAATTCACAATTGCTTCCTTTTTATTTGTTTTTAAATAAATAATTTTAACATTTAGAATAACCACTCATGACTTTGACAAACATTTTTATTTTGCTTTTCTCAGTGCTCTAGAGGATCCCTGCATTTCTTTTCTAGTCCTCTGACCACATGGTGAAACCCTGCAAATTCCATCATTGACCGTCTTTGACATTTTATAATTTGGTTTGGTTTCCAATCAAAACAAAAATACATAAAATTACTCTGTAAAAGGAAATTATGCATTTTAAAACCTTGCCTGAAAAAAGGGAGAAATTTATAGAAAAATATTAATTTACAATTGGTGTTATTTATTGCAGTAGTAGCATTCACACTAAAAAAAATTGAAGTAGACAATTTTGATCTGTTCAATTGAACTTAGGTGAGCTTAGTCCAACTGCATTTTATGGGAGTGTCATTTGGTAAAATTATTTCCTTCTATTCATCAAACATGTCCTGAACAGTACAGTTTGCATGAGTTTGTTAAAAAGTGTTTTCTACTATTTGCAGGACTGTCTGACATCCTCCCGGGTGTCTTTGTGACTTGCTTATGGAAACCAAATAAGAGCTAGAGAGTCCTCAAGTTTTAAAGCTATGAGGGGAGGCACAGACAAGTGCCCTCTGTTTGGCTGGTTTGCAATCACTGCCTACCAAAACTAAACCTGTCTTTCTGTGGATTAACCTTGCCAGCTCATCACCAGCTTGGATTTACTGCTATAGCACAGAAAGGTAAACTGAAGTTTTCAGAGCTCATAGAGCTCCAGTGCACTTTGCATCAAGTACATACTCTGTTTTGACTCAAATTTCTGTTAAACTTACTATCAAAAAATAGCTTAAAATGGGTTTTTGTAAAATGGTAAGTAAGGGTTCTGAGTTAATTCTTCCTCTTAAACATGGTTTGGGGGTTTAAGTTTACTTGGAGAATTAAAGGGTTCCTTT